ATACCATATTTTGACATTCTATATTCAACCAGTAGTAGCTTGTCTACCATATTTTGACATTCTATGTTCCATCAGTAGTAGCTTGTCTACCATATTTTGACATTCTACATGTATGTTCCATCAGTTGTTGCTTGTCCACCATATTTTGACATTGTCATTAAAACATCATGTAAAAGACATTGATGTTCCTATTACCTTTCACTGCATTTGTCTTGTCTCTTGAGTTTGAAGTACAATGTACATGTACATGTAGTGTAAGATGTTAAAATGTAGTTCACTTTTTCCTTCAAACATTGAAATTAGCAGTGGTATGAAGTTGTTCAAGATTACTTATTTAAAAAACCAATTCAGTTTCTTTCTGCGTCATGTCAGACATTTATACTTGCATGTTGTCCAAGTGAATATTTCTGGGCTAACACCCAGCACATGACTAACTACTGTACATGTACATTGTAAAGGATATCAGGTTTTGTCAGTTGCACTCTTCATATTTTTGTCATTGTTGGTTCAACTTGTGCATTGTCTTATGCACCTGTTTGTTGGTGACTAACTTAATGTTCTCTCCAATATTAGGATTACCGCCGGGGCTACGTGCTGAAATCCCAACACACCCTACAAAGTTAACTGATACTGAAGATGAACGAACCAATGAGAGTAGGTCACATGATATCAGGGAATTGTGGGGGCCCCCAAAATACACCCTGATAATGTGATCTCCTTGGGTTGAATTCTCGATATACAGCCAGTTCCTACATGTAATTTTCAAATTATTTTAGAAATGAAGGTAGACTGATACATGTAGAAGTTGTAGACATGTAATTTTATTGCTACGAGGGTAATCCAGAAATTAGGGGTCCAAAAGTGTGACATTCTCATGTCCCTGTTAAACCTGACCTTTGTTATTTGGCATGGAAATACATACCACCGTGATTGATTTCAAACTATTATTATATGTTTGGCAAGTAATTTGCATTAATTCATCACTCTCAGAAATTAGAAAATGTGTTCTGAACTTACAAAATTACTTGTCAGATGTAACAGGGACACGAAAAAATACAGACCCCTAATTTTTGGAATCACCCACAAAAGACTTTGCCTTGGAGAAAATGCATCTTCAAAGTATCACAAAATTTGGCCTCAAAAATTGACTATTGGAGAATTTTGTCATATTAATATGCTACTTGTTTGGTTTCCAGGGCAACCAGTGGAGAAAGCAAACAATGGAATTCAGTATGGTTCAGATGGTTTGCCTTTGAATCGATCAGCACCAACACCGAGGAAAACAGTCTTTCTGCTTGAAGACAGAACGTGAGTTGCATGTTGAATCAGAGTTTCTTAGGCAATATGCTCTGAGTTCAGATAGATTCCTTAGAAGTGTACTGGTACCAGAATCTCATTATCTTTCTTCCTGCCAATAAGCCTCAAGCAGAAGCACCCCCTCATCAGTTGAAAAGAGCTACGTTCGTCGGGACTGTTCATTTTGTTGGTAGTGATGCAGCTGTGGTGCATACATTTCCTAGTTGTTTGTGAACGAGCAAATTTCAGTTCTGACCAAGGGAGCCTCAATCCATTGCTAAGAAAATAGCACCCTTTCTTGGTCTATCTTGATCAGGCCCATTGTTTAAAAATTGAAACGCTTCAGCCATTAAAACAATTGATAAGTGGACATGGGGAATATGGGACTTCTGCGTGCATGTTGGACATCAGTTATGTACACATTTACCATAAAGATGCCTGAGGAATGGAAGGTTGTTTGTGATTGGTTGTACACTAATTAAGCCTGCTTTGGGGGGCTCTCACAAGATAATATGTCTGTTAAAGACTGGTGAGTTAAGCCTCATGCTTGTTTTTTCCATCTTCAGGTCAGCCGAGGAAAAAAAGAGAGTGAGGCAGAAGCGAGAAGCTGATTGGGACATTTCCCAGTCAAAACAGTGGAAAGAAATGACCTACCAACAAGTTCAAGAAGAAAAGCGAAAGGTTAGCATCCACATAATTGGTATTTCACACCTGCTTTTAGGGCTTTGTGATTCTGTGTATAATTGTGAAGATGAAAGAAGGGAATTTGTATTTACTGAAAGCATAAAATAGAAGGGTGGTTGATCTTAGCGAGTCTGTTGCTAGTCCAGCCATTATGTTTCAGACATCAAAAGGAAGCATGACATGTTCTATTACATAAATCTTGTGTTCAGAATCAGTGCATCATTAGAAGTCAGGTTTCAAGACAGTATGTTTAATCTTATGAATTGTGCCAAAGGGTAACGGTACAAGAACATGTAGTCTCTCTGCATTGTTTTCATGTCTCCTTTGGCCTACTACCAGTAATTGGATTTACATGTAATCGTGGCCTGGTGATTTGATTTGTGATCAACTTTAGGCTGACAAGAGTGTGTGCTTCTCAATCACAGTGATGTGGGCGGGTGACATGCATGCATGTATGCGCACCCAGTGTGGGTACAGTCTTTACTTAGGGGTCAGTGCTAGGCACCCAATTTAAACAATCAACTCAGCCCTTTTCCTTTGCCAACAAAGGGCAGTGTGTTACTTGTAAATAGTGCATGTACCGTATTCAACCCTGTTCAGAATCACTGAAATTAGATTCATTCTTATCAGTGTAGGAAGCAGGGATGGCATGTTTTTATGTACTGGTAGCAGGTAGAAATGTCTCTTAAATTTGGAACTCATGATGGCCATGTACACCCACAGGGTTAATGCTTGCGTGATGGGGGATGTGCGGAGTAGGCTCTACCAACAGCCTCTGTTCTTGGATGTGTCACGGGAAAAGGATGCAAATTATAATCTAAATCTTTCCCTCTAATGACTGTCAGGATCTTCAGATGTTGAAAGATTACAGACCTTGGGGAAGACCTGGAGGAGGTGCTCCTACCAACTCAGAACTGAATTTCCGAAGAACTAGGAATATGGAAGATTCTGTCCTTGGAAATAAAGGAGAACTTCTGGTAAGGAAATACGTTACGTTCATTCAAAAAGTGCACCTGTTAAAGTTATGAAGTAGTTGTTGAACCCAATCACTGATTTACTTGAAGCTTCTCAACTTCTTTTGCGGAGACAAGTCAAGAATTGTTTGCAAGATTTCTTGTTTCCCTTGTATTGCCCAGGCACCCTATTTTTGAGAGTGGTTGGAAAGTGTCATCATCTACCTGTATGTAAATTCCCCCAAAAGTGTTGTTCATAAGGGAACATATGTAGATGTGATTAATCATTGAACTGAAGAATCATTGTTGGGTTGTCTTGATAGCTACAGTATCCAGCCTTTGGCCAGCAAGGTCACGGTGCTCCTTTGAGGACTGACTCTGGTTCACTAAAGACAAGCTTCCGAGCCAATCATGACATTCGCTTCCAACATGGTATGAAGAACATGCAACAGAATGTCCATAATAAACTACGGTATACGCAGCCTCGTAGGAAAGGAGAAGAATACATCAATGACTTAGGTGAGAAACAGAGTGAGATTGCAACAACATTGTTGTCTTTATGTTAGGTATAATAGATTGGATATTCATGGACCGCTAAATCCAGTGATTTCATCACTTTCTACAAATACCTGGAGTTTGGAATTTAGGTTTTGTTAGATTTTTCTCACAAAATTATTGGTCTAGATGTTTTTCTCTACATCTTCATAAACCGAGGGGTTTGAAGTCATTGACAAGTTGGGCCCAATTTCAAAGTGCTGTAAGAGCTAACAAGTATACATGAATGGAGATTTCTATTTACATGTACATGTAGACAACTCTTTCTTTTGGGGTTAAGGTAAGCCTTACTACTTAGCAGTCTCTGTAAAATAGCTGTTAGCACAGAATTAGCTGCTAAGCAACGCTGTGAAATGGGGCCCTACTCTTTGTCAAAACTTGTCATAATTCTTTTCAGTGAAACAAACGCATTGACAGGTAATATAGCGGAGAAAACCACTAGCTTTTACACAATGTAGGTCAGACTGTATTAGGTTAGCTAGCTCAGTTGATTAGAGGGTCATGTCAATAGCTTTCCCTGATATCTTTTCTTAGAATAGTCTATGATGGGCAAATTCCATACAGAAACACATTTTAAGAAATATTTCTGATGTGTGCATATCACTTCTGTTCACAGGGAATTTAGCGCTGGAACAAAGAACTCGGAGAGAAATTGAGAAGCACAGAGAACTTGAAGAGGAAAAAAATACGGTAAAAAAGTGGAAATCTTGGCATTTGTACTCAAAAGTAATTTTTTGATAGCAGTGCTTCACCTCATCCACTTTTCAGATAGAGCACAGCATTGCAAAGTTGGGTGCAATAGCAAAACTCTAACTAATGTAATAGTAATGTTAGCCATTATCATTGCAGTATGATCTTAACCCAATGCATTAGAATTTTCAGAAACATTGGAAAGAGTTCATACAGTATGTTGTTCATCTCTTCAAGTAGCTGTAGAAAGTCTTTGTTTTACAATAATTGTTTCTGTTGGAATCTTTGATATGTAAAGTGGATGATTGTTCCTGTTGGAATCTTTGATATATACAGTGGAAGTATGATCCTTATGGCAAGCCAGGTGGAAGTGCGCCAATTAAAACAGATTTTTGTTTATTTGAGAGTGGACGTAAGGTCCCACTCAGCCTAAGACATATCTGTAGAAAGCCTATGTTGTTGTACAATGATTGTTTCTATTGGAATCTTTGATATGTAAAGTGGATGATTGTTTCTATTGGAATCTTTGATATGTACAGTGGAAGTATGATCCTTATGGCAAGTCAGGTGGAGGTGCACCAATTAAAACAGATTCAGGTGAGAAGATTCTGCAGACAGGTTCACTTGAAACTGTGTGATATTACACTCAGGTGTAACTGAGGGTTGGTGTAGGGACCCTGAATGTTGTGGGCACACGACAAAGACCCCAATCTAGTCCAAAATTTCTGAACAAAAAGGGTCCTAAGAACATGGTGCTGGCCTTCCTTCACCCTCTGATGGAGAAAATGTGAAAGTTAGCATTTGGTTTCGGAAATGTCCGAGGCATATTTTTTGTTGAAAGCTTGGGGAAAAATGTTTTGTTCAGGTGAACATGTTTCCTGTTTCAAGATGCTCCCAGAATAATGCAAACTGAGGATGGCCAATGCTTTTTTTTAATGGAACACTCCTAGGGACTCATATGAATATCTCCTAAGTGAAAAACCGTAATAGCACCTGTCTTGTGCTCGTAATCATTATTGTAGCTTTTGACCGTCTTCCAGGCTCTTTGGAGGAATAAACTGGGCTGATTGTCTTGTGTATTTCTCAAGGAAAGTGTAGCAACTCAAAGCCAAAAAGTCAGGGTTTATGAGCGAAAATTTTATTGGCTGTTTGTTGTTATGACAGGAAGAGCCTTGGCTGGACGACAACGTACTCTGGTGAAGGATAGCTATGAATTAAGAGAAGTTGAACAGAAACAAGAACGTAAA